CTAACAATCCAATTGCTAAATATAAGGGTTTAATATTAACGTTTTATTCAGTCAGTAGTCCCGGTTTTAGAGGGGCATAGCTAACAATCAAATTGCTAAATATAAGGGTTTAATAGTAAGGTTTTTATTTGGTCAGTAGTCCCGGTTTTAGAGGGGCATAGCTAACAATCCAATTGCGAGATGTAAGAGTTTAAGAGTAAGGGTTTATTCAGTCAGTAGTCCCGGTTTTAGAGGGGCATAGCTAACAATCAAATTGCGAGATGTGAGGGTTTCATAGTAAGGGTTTATTCAGTCAGTAGTCCCAGTTTTAGAGGGGCATAGCTAACAATCCAATCTCGAGATCTAAGGGTTTAATAGTAAGGTTTTATTCAGTCAGTAGTCCCGGTTTTAGAGGGGCATAGCTAACAATCCAATTGCTAAATATAAGGGTTTAATAATAAGGCTTTCTTCAGTCAGTAGTCCCGCTTTTAGAGCGGAAAAGCTAACAATCCAATTGCGAAATATAAGGGTTTAATAGTAAGGCTTTATTCAGTCAGTAGTCCCGGTTTTAGAGGGGCATAGCTAACAATCAAATTGCGAGATGTGAGGGTTTCATAGTAAGGGTTTATTCAGTCAGTAGTCCCAGTTTTAGAGGGGCATAGCTAACAATCCAATCTCGAGATCTAAGGGTTTAATAGTAAGGTTTTATTCAGTCAGTAGTCCCGGTTTTAGAGGGGCATAGCTAACAATCCAATTGCTAAATATAAGGGTTTAATAATAAGGCTTTCTTCAGTCAGTAGTCCCGCTTTTAGAGCGGAAAAGCTAACAATCCAATTGCGAAATATAAGGGTTTAATAGTAAGGCTTTATTCAGTCAGTAGTCCCGGTTTTAGAGGGGCATAGCTAACAATCAAATTGCGAGATGTGAGGGTTTCATAGTAAGGGTTTATTCAGTCAGTAGTCCCAGTTTTAGAGGGGCATAGCTAACAATCCAATCTCGAGATCTAAGGGTTTAATAGTAAGGTTTTATTCAGTCAGTAGTCCCGGTTTTAGAGGGGCATAGCTAACAATCCAATTGCTAAATATAAGGGTTTAATAATAAGGCTTTCTTCAGTCAGTAGTCCCGCTTTTAGAGCGGAAAAGCTAACAATCCAATTGCGAAATATAAGGGTTTAATAGTAAGGCTTTATTCAGTCAGTAGTCCCGGTTTTAGAGGGGCATAGCTAACAATCAAATTGCGAGATGTGAGGGTTTCATAGTAAGGGTTTATTCAGTCAGTAGTCCCAGTTTTAGAGGGGCATAGCTAACAATCCAATCTCGAGATCTAAGGGTTTAATAGTAAGGTTTTATTCAGTCAGTAGTCCCGGTTTTAGAGGGGCATAGCTAACAATCCAATTGCTAAATACAAGGGTTTAATAATAAGGCTTTCTTCTGTCAGTAGTCCCGCTTTTAGAGCGGAAAAGCTAACAATCCAATCTCGAGATCTAAGGGTTTAATAGTAAGGCTTTATTCAATCAGTAGTCCCGCTTTTAGAGGGGCATAGCTAACAATCCAATTGCGAAATATCAGGGTTCAATAGTAAGGTTTTATTCAGTCAGTAGTCCCGGTTTTAGAGGGGCATAGCTAACAATTCAATTGCGAGATGTAAGGGTTTAATAGTAAGGGTTTATTCAGTCAGTAGTCCCGGTTTTAGAGCGGAATAGCTAACAATCCAATTGCAAAATGTAAGGGTTTAAAAATAAGGCTTTATTCAGTCAGTAGTGCCGGTTTTAGAGAGGCACAGCTAACAATCCAATAGGCCTTTCCCTTTATTACGTCAGAAGCCATGCGCGCGCTATGAATTCTGGGTATGGTAGTTAAGGCGACCTTCCAAGAAGTGATTTACTTGTTTACTTCGATTGCTCGTCACATTTCTCAATATTCAAAATGGATTCTTCTACCGATAACAAAACTGTTAACGAAGGAAGTCATGTCGCTAGTCTTTTTCAAGACACTTGCCAGGGGAACCACAAAGAAACCTTTTCGTAAAAGATGATGGAAGGTCAGTTATCTGTTGTGGAAGGGTCAACTAGGCCCAAGCCAGTCGTATCTTCGCCTGATGAAGAGTATCAAGAGGAGATGTATAAACAGGAGGGCTGGATAAAATCTTTGCGATTAATGCCAAATTTCGATACAATGAAGCTGAATGATAAACTAATTGGGTCTCTGGCCATGTCTAGAAGCAAAGCACCGAAAGCCTACCGTAACAAAACGCAAGGGTATAAGTTGTGGAAAGAGGGTTACGTTCGTTGTGTTTTTGTAAAACCGAACTTGATTCAGAATGATAATACTTTATTCCTTGTAAGAGTAAGGGTGTATGCGTCAATGAAGACCAATAGTTACAAAGTTTATGCACATCTAGACCAAGACAAAGGTGATGTAATTTTTGCCAAGTGTGACTGCAAAGCAGGCCAGGGTGGTTGCTGCAAGCATGCTGCTGCTCTTTTGTACACCTTAGTTGACTATGTGAACATGGACCTACAGGATGTGCCACAAGAACTTACCTGTACACAAGTAGGCCAAAAGTGGCAAATTCCATCATCTGTCAATGGACTATCAAAGAAAGCCTTCAAATTTGATTTTTTGGTTTTTGAAAAGGCTGAAGAAGGGAAAAAAAGAAAGAAGCCTTGTCCGAGTGGAGAAAGAAATTATTGTGCCACCCCACCTGTTGCATATAAGACAAATCAAGAGGAACTAGTAGATTTAGTTAATTGCCTTGAAATAGCTGGAAAAAAAAATCTATTTTGTAAAGCAGTGAAGTCCAATAGTTTTGTGCCTTGTGAATTTTTTGAAACTTCCTGCTCAAAGGCTATCAGTAAAAAAGTACTTAAGGGCAAAGAAGATGAAGAAAATTCCTCTTTGATATACATTGAAAGACTATTTGAGGGTATGAGCACTAAAGAACCATCTAGTTCAAGTCTTGCTACTTATGCAGAAATAGTAAGCAGAGTTGGAATTACTTTTGATGCAGGAATCACATTATGTAAAAATACTTTAAAGCAGAATGAAGAGCAGATCTGGCACACCGAAAGAGCCAAAAGGATAACCTCATCGATCTTTGGAAGAGTGATGAACAGGAGAAAGACCATCTATCCAGCATCTATTGTAAAGACAATCATTGAAAAGAAAGAGCACCGTAGTGGCCTACCGCTTTCCCTCAGATGGGGGTTAGAAAAGGAGAGTGATGCTAAATTATTATATCAGGAGCAGCTAGGTGATGAATTGATAGTGGAAAAATGTGGCCTAGTTGTAAACCCAATGTGGCCATGGCTAGGTTGCAGCCCAGATGGATTAATTGTTGTTAGTGGCAAACCTATTGGTGCATTGGAAGTTAAATGCCCATATTCCAAAAGAAACATGCTGCTAACAGAAGCCATAAAAGATGACACCAATTTCTTCCTGATTGAGACTGGAGGAAAATTGTTGTTAAAAAAGACGCATGGCTACTATTTTCAGTGTCAGGGGGTTTTAAATCTTCTCAACCTAGACTGGATTAACTTTTTTGTCTACACATCAATTGACTTTCATGTAGAACGAATTGAAAGGGACGAATCATTATGGTCATCCAAAATGCTACCAACTCTCACATCCTTCTTTACAGAGTTTATCTTGCCAAAACTTGAAAATTAAATGTTAACAAACAATCTTCTCATATCATGTATGTTTCTATATTACCTTCATAAAACTGGACAGTGAAATTTATACTGGTTTCTTTATTCTGAAGAAGATGGCTCTGTGGCCTAATATAGGTGTAGGAGTAGGAGGGTTTAATTCAAGTTATTCAGTTGCCACTTTTCCTATTTTGATTGGCAAAAATATACTCACAAAGGCAACTGTGTTAGCTTAATTGTAAGGCATCTTATGCTCTTCCTGACAGAAATGTAAGGCATCTTATGCTTCTCATTCAGTGCCTTGTTATAAAAAAAAATAAAGCTCAGTTTGGCAATAATTGGGATTGCAACTTCAAAGCTGACAGCCTTGGATGGCCCAGAATCTAACACCATTCAGTGAGCTTAATTAGAAAGCACCAAAATCACTGTATATGTACTTTATTATATGATCACTGTATATTACATTTGTATATGCATTTGTAAAGACAAGAAAAAAAATGATTTTATAAAACTTTTATTCATCTGTTGAGATCAAAGGAGGAACAAAATTGGTCAAATATGCACATATGACCCATATTTTATTTAGCTCTGAACACATACTTATGGGAAACACAGTTTTTAAAATCCTAAAAGTCTTTATTCTTGCAATTGCTCTTTCCACATGAATTCTTAAAGATGCAATAATACGGGTCTCTTGTTCCTCTGACAAAGATAAGTGGTCCTTGTTTCTCAAGAACGGAGGAATGTTCAAACTGACTCCTGCTGGCAAATCAGTTTGTATATCAAAACCTTTATCAGCCATAATGGCATCCCCAGGTTCCAAAAGATTGTAAATACCCAATGAGGTGAATAGAATACGCTAGAGGGACAACAGGAGGCAGTGCGAATGAGCAGCGGTGAGGCCCCGTGGCAACACCGGAAGTCTCATTTTGCACGGCAGAAGACATGAACGTGCAGACCTATCAAAGCAGGGTAAGGCGTAAAGAGCGATGCAAAAGTATGCAATTACAAGAAACTCAAAGTAACAAAGCTGATTGTGAATAAAGCTGCAACAATTTTCTCAACAGAAAGATTTAAATTGTGGATATCAGAAACAGCGAATTCTTATTTTGCGAGCATAAACAACCTTTAGTCTTCTGGGATGGCCTAGTCAAACAATATTTACAAAAGTGAAGTTACGCGCTAAATGTTTTTGAAAAAGACCAATTTGCTCATTTTGTGACGAATACTTGGAATGTTTTTGTTGATAACTTGTCTTGTGTATCTTTTTGCATATGTCTGAAGTCGGATGGTCAAGTATTTCGTTGATATGCTCTTGACAAGTTGGGTGACATGATCGTCCTCAAAAGCCGTGTCGACTTCGAAACGGTGATCTTTGATGTTTGGAAAGAGGTTCCCCCAGTCACAAACCGCAAGCACTTGGACAATCATTTTGCGAACCAAGTGTGGCTTTGATGTTATGGCTTTATTTCCACCTTCTAGAACGTTAAGTTTAAATGCTTTCTCGCAGTGTTCTACCACCTTAAATGCACCATATGATGCTTGAACTAAGCCGCCTCTGTTTTTACGAACGACAAGCATGGCAAAGGAAAATGGCAAATTCACATATGGATGATCCATTGAAGAAGTAGGGAAAGCAAGAGCTTCTGCACACTGCTCACAGTCGATTTTATTGACTATTTTCCTGACGATGAATCCTGAAATGTAATATAGGATGTTTTCAAGGAAAGATGTGAACTCAATACCATCAAATAAAAGAAGGAGAATCCCATCATTGTCTTCTGCGTCTTCTTCACTAGATGGTTGCTCAAGAATATCAGATATTGGTGTTCGCCTTTTGCTTGCCTTCAGGGAAAATATTGAGCCATGTGCTTGATCTTCAAAGCAGATAACATTGGCCTTGTTTGATGCCATAATTGAATTTCGCAATAAAATCTGTCGAAGGGCAGTTTTGAACTGAAGAGCATTTGGATTATTATTGAATCCACCACGGCTTCTGATGCAAGAAAATAATAGCTCGATATGGTCTTGGGAGAATTTATAAGTCAGTAAATACTTCAACTGGTTGCTTTCTCTTGTAATTAAATCTTCTGCTATGGCAATGATAGACTTTGCTGCAGAAACAAAGCCAAGGATGAAGGACTTTCTACGGTTTTCAGCAAGTAGCTGGTTGTTGCTTGCTTTTAGTGACAAAAGATACTCACAGACCTTCCTGACCTGATTCTGCACAGTGCTGAGGTTTGATTTACTGATGGGGGACTTAAACCCTTTCATCATTGGATGCCTGGAGTTCAGCAAATCAAACAGCCTATCAATGTTTCTTATGGACTGTAGCACCACAGTTTTTGAAATCCTCAGCCATCATATCATCCTTCAAAAACTCCAATGCATCTGCTACTGAAGAACTTAATGTTTGGGCTGCCAACTTGACTCTCATTTTATGCTTTTGCCAGTTAGTATGCACTGTTGTAAGCTTGTTTGCAATTGAAAATCCCTGGTCATCTTGTAGCTTGCACAATTTTTCAATATATGCCCAAGAGATTGTTTCTCCCTGAGCATTGTAGAGGTTTCCCATATCCCCAAGAGCATTTCTAGCCAGCTTTATCATGTGACATGCATCCAGTGTGGCATACACAAAATAATCCCTTGTGGGGTGTTTAAACCTGACTACCATTTCATCATACTTTGTGGGAAACTTGCACCCAAGGCCTTTTAAGGAAGCAAAATTGGTATAAGTGCCATCACATGTAATTGACCATATTCTTAGTCCATGATCGGCAGCTAGAGACAAGCAGGTTTTGATCAATGAAACCTGTGTTTCTGCATTGCATTTATCTATTAAAAAGTAGCCAACAGGGCATTTCCAATGATTCTTGAGGCCAGTCAGCATAAAAACCAATGCTTCAGATGCTGGCGATTCTGTATTTTCAGGGATCAAATTTCCATAGTCAACAAAACCAGAGTATTTGGATCTAGCTTGGTCATAGATCACTTGCTTCCGAATTGCCATTGCATCAATTAACAGGGCACAATCTACCATATCAGGCTTACTCTCACTTTGTTTTTCTAAGTCCCTGAAAACTTCAGAAAGAAATCCAGGCTCACAGTTGACTGAGGCTGTCCATTGTTTGATTGATGATGGGTGTGGCAGCTTGAAAATTTTTCTTGAGAAGCTGTAAGCTTTGTGGGAGTAGAAATTTACAGTTAAAGCAAACTTTTTTAATTCTTCGCTGTAACGCATCCGTTTAGGGGTGGCTGATAAATTTCTTATTTCATTGATGAATATCTCACTAGAAATTCCAGAAAACTGATCTTTTAATATATCTGCTGCTGAAAATGAAAGCATGCTTCTGTTTTTCATTGTATCAATGATATCATGAAGTGAGTTGATTTTGTTATTTCTGCGTCGCAGCTTTTGATTTAAACTTTTGATTTTACGTTTAAGCTTTTTTTTTGTTGGTGAATTTGATCCAGCACCAGTTGCAATGTAGGCAGATTTTTCCACCCTTTGTTTCTTGGCTTTAATTCCTTCAGGTGACTTGGGTGTTTTCCTTTTCAATTCCCGTCTGTTTTTTGGTGGAGCACGCTGTAGGTATTTTGGAAATTCAGGGAATACTGATGGGATGGCAATTGGTTTCAAGCGAGTGTAGGGTTCTCCTGGTGGCACTTTGTAATCAGATGGGAGAAAATGTTGGCTACAGATATAAGAATATTTTGTTGGGCTCCATTTCCAACGCCGCACAGCCGCAATCCAAAGTTTCCGCCTCTCCTCCTTTGCAGGGAATCTAGCAAGTACCAAATTATGAGAACTTAATTAGGCTGGCTATAAACTGAAAAATCTAAACTGAGAATGCAGAAGTAAGGTTATGAAATTTAGGACTTGTGAATGTAGCCCCCCTTCAGAGGATCAGGCAATGTTATATCTAAATGTTTTATAATTGTTAAGAGGGTCCTCAATAAACTACACAATTGAAGGAAGTATTTTGCTTACCATGCATTACTCTAATGATCAATAGGTTTTATTAATAATATTGCCTGCAAAGTTGACCTTACCATTGCTGATATTCAGAGAGAGAATCCTGACCAGTTACAATGAGGTAACTTTGGTAAAATTAAGAACAGTTTCAAAGTGAATTAGGTTTGGTTTGGTTGCAATAATCATTTAATTAAAGATCTGGGGGATGGATTGATTTGTGCATTTGTGAGAAAGAAGATCAATTTCAAAGTGAATTAGGTTGGTTTGGCTGCAATAATTGTTTAATGAAAGATTTAGGGGATGAATTGGTTTGTGCATTTGTGAGAAAGAAGCCATTTCTGGGTGCCAGTTATCCAAAATGAGCTAATTAGACTACATTTGTAGCTTCTAGGACACAGCCAGGCACATCAAAGGTTGGAATTGATTTTTTTTTGAGGGCTAAAGATTTAATTTGTCTACAAATCTCTAGAAAGTATCAAGATTTCAAAATTTTCTCTCCAATTTTGCGGTTTAGAGTGGCTATAGCCCCATGTCGACCTGTGGCCACAGGTACTACCCAGGGCCCACACCACGGGGCGGGGCTGAGGGGGCATGGTCCCCACTTTTTTGCGGAGCAAATAGTTTCAAAGCTGCAGTAAAAGAGGATAAAGCCTTGGCCCCCTACTTTTGCTAGCCTTACCCCCCCCCCACTTTCAAATTCGCGGCGTAGGCCCTGCTAACCCCTTCGAATTAATACATTGTTTCCGAGAAAAGGATTGCAATAGTTTAATTTCTTTTTCACAAATGATTTTATTTTTGTTTTAATAACATGGAAAAAGAAAATTTACGAAAATGCTGTAAGAGAGTTGTAACCAACCGATGAAATGAGATGGAGCTAGGACTAGCTCCATCGTGGCTTATTTCTGTTTTAGAGTTATAGCGATCCGCCTGGCTTCCATCCCCGTTTAGACACAACTTTTTCTTGTCAATTTGTCGGTTCTGACAACCAAAAGCAATGCACGATATAACCATTTCCAATCGAACTTCGAAATGAACACATGAAAATTTTTTCTTGCCGTGCAAAATGAGACTTTGCGGAAATCAGGCGGCCTCACTTCCACACTATTGTGTTGTTCCTCTAGCGTATTCTATTCACCTCATTGTAAATACCACAGTCCCTTGTTGCCTGTTTGTCACTGGTCCTTCCGGTGTATAAATCTGACACAAATGATACTGCACCAGCTGGTGTAATACCTATCAAACCTTTAGCTGTATTATGGTGCTTGTAGTGTGAATAGGTAGCACTCTGTGATCGTATTGAGCTTGGCTTTTCAATAAAAAACTCAGTGCAGCCAATGATGACTCTTGTTGCTGGGTAAACCTTTTTAAAGGAGTCAGGCATTGTTCTTGCAACAGTTTCTTTTGCTGCCCAAATGGGATAGCTTCTAAATTTGCTGTGCAGAAAATCTAGCCATGTAATCCATATTCTGGAAAAATGTGACACTGAAATACCTGCCCTCATTGCAATATCACCTTCAAGAAGACCTAGCCTTAGCCTGACAAGTACAAAGAAGAACTCTTGCTCAGGACTAAGCTTTCTTTTAGGGCCCCTCTTCACATAGTCATCTGAGCTTAGTTTTTCAACACTGGTGTTTGAGTCATGGTAAATGAGTTTGTTAACAACTGATCCAAATGAGGTGAAAATAATTTTGAATGTTTGGTAGTCTTCAAGTCCAGTAAAATAACGAAATAATGATGGCTTATCTTTAACATTATCAACTGACAAGACTTTTTGGTTATTCTGGAGGTCTGCTAACTTCAACTTCATGGTGTCATTATCCTTTCTTAACTTTGCAAGCTCAAGTGTGGCTGAACCAAGCTCCGACTTCAATTGGTCA